AGATGTTCACACAGTGTTACAACAACAAGGAAACTATATGTAGTTTGTGATCCCTTTTCTAATAGAAAGTTATGTAACCTTTTTTTTTTTAATGATTCTATAAAAAAGGGAGGGAAAGGCCCATCATGTAAATAGTAGAAGAAAAGGACCCAATGTTGCAAACATGAAAAAATATAGACTTAGAAACATAGAGTAGTAAAGTATTTATTTTGGTGTGACAGGAAAGGATTGCATTTTTGTTTTTTATTTACCCTGACGTTAACAATGTTAAATAATCATTGTCTTACTGGCAGGCCCAGCTGAGTGGGAGATGGGACCACTGCGTCAGGGCCAGGAAAGGAGAGGGAAACCCACCAGAGGCCTGTGGAAGGACAGGCATCTGTAGAGAATCTGGAGCTCTGAGTCTGGTTGAGCAGGACGCAGGATTTGGTTAGAAACTAAGGGGCTAAAACAGGAAGGGGACATGGTTTGTGCACACACACTGGAAAAAAAAAAAGATGATTTCTATGGAATCCTTAGGTTGAATTTTATAAAACCAGAGCCCCAGATTTTTCTTTGCATGTTGTTAGTTGAGGAATTTTTTAAAATACATGACATTATCAGAAAGAAAGCTAATTACAGTTGCTGAGTGGACTAGTTTTCTACAACTGAAGGAAAAGCCTCTATCAAGGGCAGGTCACATTTTCTAGAATGATGATTGGGATAAAATACTACATAACTAGAAAAATGGGAGTTTAGAAGTAGCAATTTCTCCAGCCATTAGAACACAGTGAGAAAAAGGTCCACTTTGTTACAGACTACAGAGAGCTCCAAGTCCTCTGAGCCCCTTGATAAGATGTGTTAGGAGGACTTCCATGTCAAATCATAAGCTGAGTGCTTAGTCAAAGCGGGCATTCTAGAAGTGATTTTTAGTGTGGGTGTCAAGGGAAGACATTTGAGCATAAATCACTGTAACATTTGAACTTTAGACAATAGATAATCAAACTATGTGCCTGAGATATGCAGTGACTCACCATGGGGATGACCCAGATGGATGGCTTGTGTTCTCTTAGGGGAGGTGTGGTTAGTGCCACCAAGTCAGGCAGTTGTAAAAGGTCATCCCACTTGCAAAGCCCTGTTGAGGGTGTATCGGGAATCCAGTAACGCAGTTACCCTAGGTGGCTCTTAAGACATGATGAAAAAGGTCAGAGCAGTGTTTGGGTTTGTCTCATTGCCTGCTGAAGGGAATACGACAGTGGTTACGCTTTTGGAGGTATGTGTCCTGTTGGTTCTGATGAGCAAGAAAATAACTTTTCTGTCTTGGATAAGAAGAGAATCTGACCTAAAATATCATACCAAGAAGAAGAAATTTTTTGGATCCTTGGTTTGAAATTTGTAAAGGAAGAGCTCCAGATATTTATGTGGGTGTTGTTAGTTGAGGAATTTTGAAAGTAGGCGCCTTTATACGGAAGACAGCTAACATAGTCGATGAGTGTGCCGGTTTCCCACAACTGACGGAAAAGCTTCTGTCGAGGACGCTGCATTTTACAGAATGTAAAATGTGAGGCACTCCCTTTGCAAACCCCGAAGACTAATTAATGAAGGGGAAATTCAGCTTAGAATGCTCTGCATATTTGGTAAAATAAATCGATTGGGGTAACTGTATATAATATTTATATCACTTTAACCAGGAAGTATATCTTAAATCATAAGTCACTTGGTAGAACTTCTTGCATTTATTGTTTTGTATAATAAGGAACAGAATTGTGCATCTGGAAAAGTGACCATACAGTTCATACTAATTTTTTAAACTTAATATATCCAAACACACCTATTGAGTATAGTCATATTACTAGTATTCACGGCACTTCCTTTTCTGCAAGCCAGCCCTCCTCAATATGTCTCTTCTAAAAAGAACAATCAGGGAAGCCACCTGAGGACTGTTTTGTAGAACAGGCGACATCGCATAGCGTCTCCCAATCTTTAACCTGGAATCTGTGTTAGGCTCCAAAATGCAAACTAGACTATTCCCTGATTTGGAATAAGCCACAGGATATGCCAGTCAAATAAGAATCTCATTTTGTAACAAGCTTGCACACACTTAAAAACAAGAGGGCCATGATAGATCTGGGTATGTATTTGTATTTTGATTCAAAAATCTAATTGAAATTATCTGACCCTTGTTCAGATTTATGGTAGCATGTATCTTAAAGAAATGTCCTCATATTTGCTTTCTTGGAGTACATGATACAGTCTGCTACAATCTGTGTAATAAACAAGGTGTATCACGAACTTACAGGGTTAAACTGTTTCTTACAATGTCATCCAAGTACACGGAGCAGCAGCTGTAAAATAGAGCTGTTCCTGCATCAGAAGTATTTTGCTTCTGGGCGGCATTTTTATAAACATCTATGAAAACAGTGCCCCATCCCATAAATGATTAAGTGGGTTTCCATAAGTTTGGGGTACACTCTCACCCCCATTGGATTACAAGCCCGTTTTATTCACCACGGTATCCCTAGTTCTTAACACTATACCTTACACTCAGTAGGCACTCAAAAATTTCAGCTGCTAAAAAGGCCAGAGGGACTTGTAATAGAGGAAAGCTGTTAGAATTTGATGTGGTATTGCTTCACATCGAATGCTGGGGCACTCCTATATGTTTTCAGCAAACTGTCGTTGCCTGAGATTGTTTTTCTTTGACAGGGAGTAGTCTAGGTAAATGGAAATGTGTTGCGAGCACGTTACCTTAGGTAGGAACACTTGCCCTTTCAACAAACGTGGCATTTCCGCCCCACCAGGGACTGCTACAGACTGCTCTCATTCACACCTACCCCCAAGTAAGCACTCTTTTTTTATTATTTTAAGTTAAATTTCAGTCCACGAGCTAGTCTTTATAATGCCTCCAGATAAAAATATTTCCTTAAAATGAAGTCTCAGAAAGTGCCAGCACCACAGAATTTATCTGTCTCTTGCCCTACGAGGTTGTGGGGAGGCAAAATCCTGAAACCTCAACTGTCATTTGGAGAAAACATTTAAAGCCACTTAAGGACCTTTCTTGATCTGTAGAGTGAGATCTTGCTTCCTTTTGTCTGAGTTCTCAATTTATTGTTAGGAGTCAAGGTGAGACATCCAAGGTCATAGCCCACAGATACTCTCCTTACTCTCAGCAGGGTTTGCTGTTTTATCCCCTCCTTTGCTTTGAGGTCTGTATTCTCTGGGCCCTAGTTTCCATCTGCCCCTAAATGGCCCGGGTGTAGAATTAAAAGCATCATCAGTGATTAGAAAGCTCTCCTGCTTCATTACATCTATTTACTTTCCTTCCGTGACTGTTGGTAAGGGTAAAAATTTCCATAAGCCAATATCCTTTTTTTTTTCTTTTAAAGACAAAAGAGTAGCTCATCCACTGTCTAGGATTTGGCCCTAGTCCTTCTTCCGGCACACCCAGCTTGCCTTAAATGGAATTTCCTTGTTCTGGTAAACCCGGAGGGTGTGGGGTGTGGCTGGAGTTCAAAGGAAAACAAAGGACCTCTTTGTGAAAGGGAGGGCTGAGGCTCCCCTATTCTCACCTCCTGGTACTCCCAGCACAATTGTCATTCAGAAGTTCTCTTACATCCTGCCCTTCCCCATGCCCCGCATTCTTCAGTCCATCAGTCCTCTGGAGTGGGTCCCACCTGGAAGAGAGGAGAGAGCCAAAGCGCTCGACAGCAAGCCGAGGAGACGTTGCAGTTGGATGTTTTGTTGTGCTTTGTATTTTGGCAGAGAAGTGTTGAGAGACACTGTTGCTTTCACCCTGTCATTAGTGGGTGGGTAATAGTGATATAAAATAAGAGATCAATTAGGATAACAAAAGGCAAAGGAGAAAGGGAGTAAATTTTCCACAAGTAATATTTTTCTCTTCATGGTTATTTAACTTTGAAATAGAACTTGAAAGTAGTAATCACAGTTCTGTGGTAGACAAAGGATGGAATGAGAACCAGACAGGAAGGTGTGATTGCCTTTATTGCAATAACTAGAATCATACAGAAACACGCACCACTTTTAGGAATACACTGCTGTTTCCATTATAGAAAGGCCAAAAAAAAAAAAAAAAGTCATGGGTGGCCTGCTTTGCAGTCATCTCTCTCTCTCTCCTTTTTTTTTAATTTAAATAGCTAATGTGTCTCTGTCCCTGAGAGAGTGTCTGCATCTTTGGCTCTCCTGTGTCTCTTGAGTTCTTCTTTGGATCGTCTTACGATGTGGACATACACAATAATAGTAAAGCAACACTGAGTGTGATGATTAAGGCACAGCAAAACCTTTAAATAGGGTGTTCACTTATTTTCAGCTTCTTTACAACAGCTATCTTCAGTGCTGTATCCCAGAAATAAACAAAGGAGACCTATTTGATTCATTCATTCGTTGAACCAAGATGTAATAAGTGCCCACAATGCTCCAGACCCTGAGGCACTGGGGATACAGCGATGAACAAAACAGATGTCCCTGCCCGTGGAGCTTGCACTCTAGAGGGGAAGCAGACACCGAGCAAATCAGCATGCTCACTGGTGGTTATAAATGCTCTGAGTGACAGGGCATGCGAGCGGTGTACAGGGGAACTTGTTTTCTTCTGGGGAAGCCAAGGCCTTTCTAAGAAATCATATGGGAAGCTATGGGAGCATTTTTAAGGTGGGAGGAGGAGAGGACAACGTAGACTTGTTTACGCTGGGAGATTTGTGGAGGTGGAATCGCAGAGGGCCCAGGGTGCAAAGAAAGTGTATCTGTACTTCGGTGGCGGGAGTGCATCAGAAGAACCCTGTGCTCCCTCAGAGTAGCTCTTTGAATGTTTCCATTACACTCTGGTTTGAAAATAATGATTAATATATTTTTCACTCATTAATGTAAGGGTCTGAATAAACTTGCCTTGAAGTACTATCAGTTCCCTGACAGCACTCACACTGCTCCTATTAGAAAAGAATTTCTCTTACATTTTGTCATTCATAAACACATGTAATTTTGGCCTCATATTATTCCTGTTTATCCAGCTCCTACAGAACCTTTGTTGTGTAAGTTTGCGGATGGAGGACAGAAGAAGAGACAGAATCCAAACAAATACATCCCCAATGGAAGACCGTGGCATAGAGAAGGAGAGGTGAGACTTGTAAGTTCTTCCTTAAAACTTTAGTGTGGGTGTGCAATTGTGAAAGCCTGTGTGACCACTACCTACAGCATTACAACTTAATCCAGATAATGTCAAATCAACACTGCCCAGTGGATACGGTGCCGAGAGAGTGATGATGTGCCAGGTGGACGGATGGATGGTGGAAACAGCTACAGTTACTAGTTAACTGAATGTAAAGTAAAAGAGAACTTCAGATGTTATGGATTTTTAGAGAGGTTTAACATTTATAATTATTCAGAAATCATTCTGCACATTAAAAGTAATAGTATATTTGTCATTGAGGGGTTTTTTTCTAATTCTTTTGAATAATGTTACTTTTTTAAGTTCAGATTCTTAACTGTAAATGTTCAGCCCCCAACATGGGGAAATGTTGGGCCTCCATTTCCCCATGCTTATTTTCAGTGAATTGTTTGTGTTTTTAAAAGTAACATACTGCTTCAAGAATGGCTAGGGAAGTGCCATCTAGTGAACATGTTCTAGAATCTGCCCAGTGATGACCAGTACCCACGTGCAGCTGCTGGAACACTGCAAATGTAGGTTGTATGCTGGAGAGACTCGATTTTTTATTTAGTTTTAAATAACTGCATGTGGCTAATGGTTACTGGATGGGACAGGGCAGATCTAGAGTTTAATTCTCGTACCCAGTTTATGACTGTGTTTATCTAACAGAAACTCCGAATGTTATGAAATGCTACTAAACTGTCACTGTTTTATGTTGCCATGACTCTACAAAATGGAATTTTTTAATCGTGCCTTTGCAGATGTTTCTCTCTTTTTCATTCCCATAGGCTGGAATGACACTTACTTATGACCCAACCACAGCTGCTATACAGAACGGGTATGTCATTAAGATAAATACATAATGGCTTGAGGGAAAATGTGAAGGTGGAAAATACCAGACGTATGTTCCATGAAATATTCTACTTAAAGGATTACTTAATGAAGGCTTCTGTGTTTGTTCTAGATTTTACCCTTCACCGTACAGTATTGCTGCAAACCGAATGATCACTCAAACTTCTATTACACCCTACATTGCATCTCCTGTATCTGCCTACCAGGTTTGTACATCAGGACTCATCAGGAGCATGACTGCTTGCTGACCGTGAATCACTGCTACGTTTTTGTGTGTCTTAAATTTTTGAACATTTATAATTAAATTTAAGTCAAGTGCTATGCAGCTTGGATACCTGATTTAGAATAAGCTGCTTTGTATTCAACAAAACGATTTACTTTTTATGTTATACGAGGGTATAAACCAGGGGGAAATGGATGTCAGTTGTCAGTCCTTGAAATCATAGCGTTTCCAAGTTGGGATGAACCCCACTACTTCCTCACAGTGAGCCTTGCTGTTAGATACCTTAAAGAGGATTGCTGTCGGGTGAAACGCAGAGTAGGTGCGCACACGTGCCTGTGTGTCTTCCTCAGCAGGAACTAATGAAAGAGCAAGTAAACCTGCTAATAAAGATATGTCATTATTAGGTAACATTAAGTGAGCATACATAACATTAGGCCAAAAGAAAAAACAAAAAGGAGATTACTGCCGGTTTAGATTGTTTTTGTGAGGAAGCTTTATCTTAAAATGAATTCCCAACTTAGAACCAAGATATCATTAAGCACCTTGTTATAATATTCATTTGGTTTTATTTCAGGGTTAGGTCCTGTTCATCGTGAACCCAGGGTTACATGCGTTTCTCTTCCTTTAGCAGAGTGGCTCTGATGGGGTTGCCGCCTCGGCCCAGACAGGACCGTTTTAAGGGAGTTCTATTACAGACAAGTAGGAATATAGTTCTCTTTAGTTGACTGTTGAGATCCTGTGTGACTAAACTAAACTTTTGTGTAGTCTTGTTTTTAAAACAATTGAATTAGATGTTGTAGCCCTGATTTCTGGGGTTAGGGGGTTGCAGTATCTGATAACTGTGTTTAATTCAATTCTGCAAGCCTCAGTTTCCTCATCTTTAAAATGGGGATAATAATAGTTTCCATCTCATAGGCTTGTTATGAGAGCTAAACGAGAGTCCATATAGAGTGTGGCACATTATCCTAGCATATCATTAGCGCTCAGTAAATGTTAACTGTGGTTATTATCATCATTAATGTGCAGGATTAGCTGGCTGATGCAAATACATTCATTATACTTTTTTAAACTGATTGATTGGTGAACATAAGCCATATGTTCAAAGTTTAAGAACATAAAAGTAACCTTGAATGACAAAGAGCAGTGATTAAATGCACTGAAACTGAAGTTTTTTAAAATAATATTCATAGCCTTCCTCAGCTTTTAGGTTCTTTTCTCCTCCTTTCCGTAAGTTGTCTCTTATTTTTTTCTCTTATTTTTATGCTGGTGTTTTAATCTGCTGAACGTACTATTCACTTATTAAATGCCTCTTCAATCACTTTGAACTTAACATTTCTGTGTCTTCCTTGCCTATGTAAAACTCTGAAATCTGCTCTAGTGCATTTTCCCTAATTAACAACTCCTGTATCTGATATTGAAGGTAGTCTTCTTTCTAAACTATCTGAACTCGGAACCCCCTGCCATTAATGGATATCACTAAAAATAGGTATATTCTCAGGCAAATGGAGGATTGTGCATATTAATCTGAATGTATGCTGCTGTAGATAGATTACAGCTGGTAATGCATCTCCCCGCCACCTCTTTTCTATAAAAGCAATGAATGTTTTAGCCACAGAACTGTTTCATAGAATTTAAAAAATTAGGCTGATTTTGGGAATAGATTTGATATACTTAACTGGAAACAGCATTTCATTTCAGAGGCCTGATTTTCTTCTCCTGGGCATTCTGTGTTTCCCTAAGGTACACAGAATGTGGAACCTTTTTCATTTGCCTGACACTCACTGTCGTAACCTCAAAGACCGATTAACCCACTAAGTTCAGGGCCCAGTAGGGTCGGCACATGGGCTTTAGGGGGTCTTTCTGTGATTCCTTTAAATCATTTGCAAACTGTTGCTTGTGTGTGTGCATTTAGTTGGGGAAAAAGGCCTGTTTCTTTCATCAGTTTTTCAGCAGGCTCCATGACCCAAACAAGGGTAAAAAAAACCAGTAGCAAAAAAAAAATGTAGCACATAAATTATTATTCCCATTTTTTAGTTAGGGAAAAATGAGGAATTATCATTGACAGCAGCTGATTTGCTGCTTAAGGAAGAAAACTGAGTTAGATGTCATGGCTCCCTAACCCCATAATACTGTATTAGATTATTAAGATCACTGAAGCATACAAAAAAATAGGAGCATCTGGCCAAATTGGGGTCTGCAGGGAGCTCCTCGCCTCCCCGTGACTTATTCAGTGGAGGCCTCATACTTGTGTTGGAGTGGGCTTTTCTCCACTAAACCACCATATGCTTCTATAATTGAATTTGAGAAATTGGCATCTGCAAGAAACCACCAGTACCCCGATGGGGAAAGGCTGCAGTCCAGATAACTGAAATGTTAACAAGGCAGAAGCACTTAACTTTGGTCTGCCTTAGGTGGCAAAGGAACCCAGAGAAAACAAGTATCGGGGCTCTGCTATCAAGGTAAATCATAATACATTCTTCCCCCATGACTCTTCCATCTCTCTATAGAACCTTTGACGTTAACAGTAGGGGAAAAGACTCAGGAGGGTTTTGTTGCTAAGAATTGGAGACTGGAACTTATTCTAAAAATCACATAGTCTCTGAAAAGCTCTGGGCATCAAGAAATAGACTGTTTCTTTTTTTCCCCTTGAATGGCAGACTGCTTTCTTTCCTGCCACAGAATCTGACTCTCACATCTTATTTCTCAGTCCAGAGGGTCTGCTGTGTGGATGCCCTGTTGACCGTAGACGTCCAGGTCTAGTTAGTGAAGTTTAACTTCATAAATCTGAGTTTTAGATTTTTGTTTTCCACACTAGCTAGAAATTATTGACCACCAAACAAGATTTCTGACCCTAATGAATGTCCTTGGTCCTTGGTATCAAAGAGGGATTAAATTTGATTATTCCTTTTAAATAACCACATACTTTATGGATTAGTTCATTATAAGATGTGCTGGAATTAATTCTCATTCATCGGTATTCCTGCAGCACCTAGTTCATACCTTGATGATAGCACTTTTCATTATTGATTTGAGCTGTTTACTTATCTTTCTTGCTTAGACGGTGAATTTTTTAGGGTGGGGCCCGTGTCTTATTCACCTTTTCCTCTTTGGTGCCTGATACTCAGTAAATACTTCTTGAGTGGGCAGATGGAACCTGTATTTAAATAATCATTTCATCCTATTCAGAGTGACCAGTTTGCCAAGAACTCTGCCTTAATAATCTTTTTAATCATTGAGAGTATTGTTTCCTTATTTTCCTTCTATAGATCTTAACATGATTAAAAGAGTTATAAAGAAATAGGTAGTGTTCCAATGGAAATCAATGTTTCTTTCAAAATCCTCCCTTTTCCAGGTGCAAAGTCCTTCTTGGATGCAACCTCAACCATACATCCTACAGCACCCTGTAAGTTTCGTCGTAATGGCTTTGTGCTTTGCAAGTAAACCATGTATGTGGTGAAACTACTCTCTGGGTTAAAACCATTTGCCGAAGAAGATTTGGCAAATTTTAAGCGTGTATCATGAGAATGTACAAACTCATTATAAAACTCTCACTCATCTTTGTCTTCAAACAAATTGGTAGTTGACAGTAAGTTAAATTTGCAATCTATCAGAGCTTAAAATATATCACATTGGAGGTGGGGCACCATTTTCTTCCTCATACCAGTTTTGTAGGAGATTGTTAAACTGAGTTTTCAACTTTTTAAAATTTTTAAATTGTAAGGTTTTTAAGTTGCAAAATTTCATCCGTACTTGTGATGAAATCTAATTTTTTTACATTATGTTTAATGCAAAACATGTTCAAAATTGTTCTACAGATTTTTTAAATTGATTTTAGAGAGGAAGGGAGAGGGGAAAGAGAGAGAAATCTTCATTTGTTGGTCACTTACGTATGCTTTCATTGGTTGATTCTTGTATACGCACTGACCAGGGATCAAACCCACAACCTTGACATGTTGGGACCACACTCTAACCTACCGAGCTTCCTGGCCAGAGGCAAGATTGATCTGAGATTTCTATCAGAGCTACTTACCCTCTCCATAGAAACTCTGAATACAAAAGTAGTAACACCTTTGGTAAATAAATGTGATTTCTTTAGTGACATGAGCATTTGTTACATTTATGTATACATTATATTTAATTGAGTTACACTCCACCTTATTATCATATTTAATGTGTTTTTAAAAATACATAAAATCCAGTTAGTTGAATTAAAACATGGGTTTAAACAGTTGATAAAATAAAGGTGGAGAACAAAGTCACACACACATACAAGCTCAAAATCCCCAGCACACTGACTGCCACACTCACCATGGGAAAGCCACGTCTTTGGCCCTAAGCTTTCTAGTAACAAATGCAAAATGGGAGTCTTGGTAAGCAAGATAGCTCACAGCACTTACAGGATAAAAACAGATCAGTTGTTTGGGAAAAGCACACTATTCTTGACCTTAAGATGAGACAGGGATTTCTCTCAGGACACCTAAAGAGAACACTGAGGTCACGTGAATGAAATGGTAGTCCAGGGACGAGTTCTGAACAGAAGGTGGCTGAGATGACTTTGAAGAAGCAAATAAAACATGTTCAGTTGCTAGCACAGGGGAGAAACTTTGTGCTGTCTGTATAAACACTTACATATATGTTTCTATATGCACACATGCATCCACACACATCCCTACTCATGTATGTACACTTACACCCACATGCACGCAGGTGTTCATGGCAATGTGTGTCCCTCTTATGAAATGCTGGAAAGGAACTCGCTGTTCATGGGGGTTTCCCAGCAATAGCCAGTTCCTGCAGATGAACAGGAAAAGGAGCAGGGCCCTCCCTCAGCGCATCCTGGGCTTCTGCGTCATTTCCATGTTACCATCCACTTTTTGATGATACTCATTAAACCTTTAAAAAGAAAAAACTTATGAGATTTATTAACAGCAAACTTTCTTACGCACACCTATATTTTCTTATCAACTTTTAGAGACAAAGCTGCACATATCTCAGTTTAACATCTATAAGGTGACAGTCGTGTGCAGGAGGCTCCTGTCTGAGGACTCACTTCCTTTCCCACCCAGACCTAGACCACCTGCAGCCAGAGCTGCAGGGCCCACCTGCACACCGGTCTCTGCCCTTGACTGCGTACCTAATGTCAGTAATCACAGTGCACTTAAGGGATAAGTCCAATACATTGACACCAAAAACTTAACATTAATCTTGCAGTGTTAGAATAATTGTATTCTCAGATAATTGGGTGATTGCAGAAGTGTGAGGGATAGTATAATCTATAAGAATATCATATAGGATAAATTAGAGAAAATGCAAAAGTCCAGGAATAGAAATAAATTTTGGTTTATGCAGTCAGTGTGCCTTCCATTATGTAATTATTAAAAACGATGATAATGACAGTCATGCAGTAGGTTAAGTAAACATTTATAATGGAATATTAAGTTAAAAGCAGAAGGTCAGGACATGAAATTGTTTGTGCACCTTCCTTCCAACTTTGTAGAACATGCCACAGTCAGAATCGGGGCAGCAGTACCCTGGCAGTGCCAACAGTGAGGTACTACAGAGAGAGGATGGGCAATGGGTGTTTTTCTTTTCTTTTCTTTTTTCCCCTGAGCTGGGGTTTTGTATCAGCTCACCACTGGATTGCACCAGCCAAACCACCTGTCTGTTTTTCTTAAACTCTATTTAACTTTTAATGACTAGAATTTTTTAATGAAACCAGAGAATCTGAAATTGGTTTATTCATTGTATCTGAATTGGTGCCCCCACCAACCCCAAATTGTAGCTGAAAGTTCTGGGAAATGAACTGAGGGAATGAAGAATGTGATCTTGACCCTGACAGCCTGGTGTTGAAGTGAATGACTATCTCTGTGGAACTTTTTTTTTAACAAAACACCATGTTTATAATATTCAGTATATTATTTTGTGGTCTCATAAAACATCAACTGTCATTTATTTTAAAAATAATTAAGCCTTTTATTAACCTGCATAAAATAATTTGCATTTCTTGCTATAGCTCCTACTGGATTAGCTTACTCTACAGTTAAGTGTGAAAGCACAGGGAGAGATGTTTAATGCAGGGATTTCTAGAGAGCAAGTGCTCTTTAGAAGGTCTCAGGAAGCACAGTCCAGAAGATTTTAAGGAAATTATTTATGATACCATTTACAAGTTTGAGGGAGGGTTATTTTTGCTTTATATTCCTCAACAAATAGGCATTTCATTTGCAAAAGGTGATTACAGAATCTTAACCACTCCCTCTTAGGTCGTATCTTTTGTTGCTCTTGTCTCCGACTTCCCAGGGTGCCGTGTTAACTCCCTCGATGGAGCACACCATGTCACTACAGCCTGCATCTATGATCAACCCTCTGGCCCAGCAGATGAGTCATCTGTCACTAGGTGGCACCGGAACAGTAGGTGGCAAATTCATATCATCTGTCTCAGCAAACAGAGGAGTGTAAATTAATGCAGCTTGTGCCTTCCCTATCAATCACAGGCTCTATGATATCAGTGATTATGTCTGACCCCCCAACACCCTCCCAGGTTGCCTTCTTCATAGTAAATACTCAGATATTTCTTGATTGATATACTAAAAGTTGGTCCTCTGGGTGTCTCTTCACTGCCTGAACATAGCACCCATACATGACTAACCACATCCAGGCCTAATAACCAGGGTCATTCATTCACACTGGCAGACCTGGTCTCATGAAGCCAAGATCAAGGTGATACATGGTGGTGAAGGCAGGGGATTTCTCCTTACGTATTTCTGTTATGGAATTTGGGGACATTGAATCATGAGCTGTGTACTGAATTATTTCCCCAGAGTCCAGGGGACTTAGTTAAGTATTGAGGTTGAGCTGATACCATACCAGATTAACCTCCAGGGTTGGCATGGGCAGCACCTGGCTACGACAACCAAAGGCTTTTAGTTCAGACCACATCTGTGGTGGCTTACAAGAACAAAGGGCAGTGTGTTTGCCCCACTTACTTTCAAAACTAGCTAGCTTCTTGAAGGCTGAACCAGGGCCACACACATCCAGTGAGATTGACTAAAAGGTCTCCTGCCTTTGGAAAAAGAGGCCCGTCAGCATCAGGAAAAGCACAGGTCCATTTTCTGTTCTGCAGTGACCTGTTGAAGTCCTAGTAAGTCACTTTCTCTTGGGCTTCCACTTACAGAAACAGTTTTGGATGCTAGTTCAGGGAGGCTGCTGAAAAATAATGAGGCCATTTGAGGAGACATCTTCTAAAATAGCACATTAATGATGTTAAATTATAGACGATGAGAAACCTTAATGATCTTCACCCATGTGCTCCTTTGTTAGGAAACCCAAAGAAAGGTGGGATTTCTACTTTGACAAATTCAAACAGTACAAAACATTCATTTGCCTTTCATATGGTGCACTGAGGTATACTAATTAAATGTTGAGCCCATTTAAATTTCTTCTTTGAGACTCCCAAATACTTGTCATCCCCTTTCAAAATTCACCGACTTTCAGAATTCTGCATGGCTTGTCCTGGCCCATCTGACTCCATTCTTCTTTGCAGTACATGCCTGCAACATCAGCTATGCAAGGAGCCTACCTGCCGCAGTACACACACGTGCAGACAACAGCGGTTCCTGTGGAGGTCGGTACAGGCTGTCCAGTGGCCGTTCTGAAGATGAATAGTTTCAGAAATGAGTAAATTAGGTGGAACTCAGTGGAAAATCAGCCAAAAGTCAAACATTTGCCTGAAGATCTGAGTTTAGAGGGAGTACACACATCATCAACGCTTCAGGGCTCTCTGTCCTCTGTCCCATAAAATGGTGCTTACAGGCAAATTCAGATAAAGCTGGAGTATGTAATTCAAGTGTCAAGGATTGTATCAGTATAATAGTAACAAAAAGCCATCAGTTATAATTAAGATACTTGGGGAAAACTGATGTTTCAAAACTTTAACAGGTGTGAGAAACAGGGCATACCTGTTTTTGTAGAGGCTGTTGGTAGAGCAAAATAACACTTAGTTCTTGTCCTGGAAGATACTAATATGATACTGATATGAAAGAAGTCTGACATTTGATTTAATTTGAATAAAGCTTGGACAAAAGGGCATTTTCCAGCAAAGCACCCTTGAAACTCCAAGGAAATTCATCAACCCAGCCCATCCCACCCTCTGGGCAGATCCCATGGGTTCCAGTTCCAAAAACAGCTGTAGAACTGTGTCTGGATGTCGGGGGAGGGGGGTGGGGATGGTCCTTGTTTGGTTTGCTTCTGATTCATTTAGTGTTGTGCAGTTATTGACGATCATAGTTCCCAGAACCCAAAATCTCTCATCTGCAATTCTGAAATGAACCAAAAAAAAAAAAACGTAAAAATTCTTTTTGTAGCTACTTTAGCAAAAATCTTGACCTGCAACAAAACCCAACCCGAACTGATGCAAGACAAAAATGTGTACTCCACTCTGGGTATATTCATGTCTTTCGGTGTAGCCCTGTTAATATGATTGATCATGAGGCACTGCCCTAGACCCCACTGAGTGTATTCAATGAAAAACTGCATATGCACACTGTATTTCAGGTCCTAAACTCTAAGAACACTGAATTCCAAGTCACATCTGCCCCCAAGGGATAAGAGATTTGTTGGATAAATTGTAGTTTAGTTTGAAGAGACAACTCCTAAGTGTTGGGGTGGGAGGTTCTTTGAGTCTGTCAGATGTTTGAACTTCTTAGGGAAATAAACTCGAAAGCTCTACATGACCTAAAGAAAATCACTTGTTAAAAACATTACTTGTAAAGAGTGCTTGTTTTGAAGATGTTGGACTCAGTCAGACCTGGACAGCAACATTTGGATTTCATTGCTCACATGTCTCATCTGTTCTGCTTTGTTGTAGGAGGCGAGTGGTCAGCAGCAGGTGGCTGTAGAGACGTCTAGTGACCATTCTCCATATACCTTTCAACCCAATAAGTAACTGTGAGGTATGAGAGAAAGGTCGCTGTAACTGTAGGGCTCAGGCCAAGACAAGTCTATGGTTCCTTTACAAAATTGAACTCAGAGTAACTCAGATTTTGTCCCACTGCTGCCATCATGGCCAGGGAAGCCAAATGTTATCAAAATGTCAAAATCGGTGACTTTGTGGATTTGGCAGATTAAGTATTCTGCCCAAAGGGGGCTGCATATATTGAAATCAAATGTATGTTTTTTCTGTCTTCCTCCTTACCTCTTCCCCAAAACCTGTAACATGTTAGAAAATACTGGGGACCAAATTTGTCCTACAGTACATGTATTTTACATTTATCTTCCTTTGAATATTCACAGACTCCAGGAAATATAGCATAAGAGTTTGTATAACCTAGCACTGCAAGATTAGCAGCAGCTCAACTATGAATGTAATGTCAAAGGTTGCATCCCAGCTCTCACTTGGACCACAGATCTGAAAACTTTGTACTTTACCATGCAGATTGCGGTCAAGTAGTTATGTGGAACTTGGGTTTCTCGTTGCTCTCGCAAAAGTATGTTGCAAGTCCCAGATTTCAGAGGTAGACTCAAAGCACAGAAAGTGACCCTCAGCTCCAAAGTTTGTATTTATTGGTCTACCACAATGATGAACACGACCTTTTCTAAACACCTTTATCTTTAAAACAAGAAAGAGATCACAAAGCTCAGTAGTGTGTGATAGCAACTGTACAAAAAGCATTTGTCTTTTATTTTTCTCTTCCAGATATACAGAAGGGTGTTCTTACATGAAGAAGGGTGTGAAGGCTGAACAATCATGGATTTTTCTGATCAATTGTGCTTTAGGAAATTATTGACAGTTTTGCACATGTTCTTGAAGACGTTATTTATAACGAAATCAACTAAAACTATTTTTGCTATAAGTTCTATAAGGTGCATAAAACCCTTAAATTCATCTAGTAGCTGTTCCCCTGAACAGGTTTATTTTAGTAAAAAGCAAAAAAAACAAAAAGAACAAAAACAAAAGATTTTTATCAAATGTTACAATGCAAAAAAAAAAAAGGAAAAAAAGAGAAAAGAAAAAAGGAAAAAAAAAAGAACACTTCAATTTTCTGGGTATGCACAAAGACCATGAAGACTTATCCAAGTGCATGACCGGATTTTTGTGGTTTTGTTCATTTTGTGTTTGATTTGTGTTTTTTTCAGCTGTATGAAATGGGCTTTCTGACGTTCAACTAGTCTGACTTCCCCCACGGTGTTCTGTGCTTGAAGTGCGAGTGTTGCTGTAATTCAGTGTTGCCGTCAGTGTCTGTCTTCGCTTTCCATTTTTCTTTCATCGTAGTGTGAAGTGTCTTATCCTTTTCTATGAATTCCAATTTGCCTTAACTCTTTTGATGCTGTAGCTGTTTCAGTAAAAGTTAGTTCAAACTAATGATGTAGAATGCTTTGACCAAATGAGCTGGTCTATTATGCCTTGTAAAACAGCAGCATAGGGCTTTTAAAAGGTAGTCAATAAAAGTTGCTGACATTTTGGCTTTTTTAAATATGTAGTAGGTGTTTTTAATGATTTTTCACATAACGTGTAAGGTAGTGAAATGCAAGAAGGGAAAAATGTTTTGTGTGAAACACATTTTCTGATTGGGGAACTTTTAATAGGGTAAATCGTTTGTAAGGCTGTACGCCAACAGCTTCCTCTGATGGTTTGACTGATTTAGGATATCTGCTGTAGGATGCAATGTAAAGTCCTTTTTGCCTTTTTTCAGGAAAAAAACAAAAAAAAACCTAACTTGATGTTCTAGATTTAGTGTAGGTAGTGTTGGGACTGGGGGTGGGGGCGGGGGAGGGGAGTCCCCGACTGTTTTGTCCTTCCTTTATACTAATGATAGTGCTTTAGAGTGAGAATTCTGCCTGAGATCTGGCAAACCGAAAAGTGTTGCTATTGCAACTAAATGGCAGAAGCTAAAAGTAAGGATTTATCTTTGAACAAAGCTGAGATATGGATAGAAGCAAATCGATTGGCTACTAGCTCTCTCTCTCTCTCTGTCTCTCTCTTTCTCTCTCTCTCTTTCTCTCTCTATTACGTAAATTTGAGAAATAAAAATTACTTGGCACTTTTAAAGGTAACTTCACCAAAGACCGAAGAGCCAGTAACCAGTAGCTCCAACTCGTCTCAGCATCACATCTTCTGTGCTCTTTATTTTTGCCGGACCAGTTTGCGGTTAGGAGAATGTGCCTTTTTTGTACCTTTGCATTTAGGTTTTATAATTTTAATTGATGTATGGACACACACAAACAAAAAAGCATGAAGGAAGATTTGGATCCAAGCAGTGCCACACTTTACATCATCACTACAAGTGTTAAGTGTAAAGAAAAACCAATTTTGAAACTATGAAATTCCTGATTCATAAATACACAGTTATTTCTACTTTAGTGCATATAAGATGACTCACTGTTATTAAAGCTCTTTTAGTGCATATTGCATATGTTTGAAAAGCAACGGTAAATTAAGTTGTCTTCCAAAACTGTGTACTTGTCTGGTCAACTGTGTGTGATCAGTTATCTACCTCAGAGTCTGTTTTCTTTTGTGCTGGGGCAGGTAGCTGGCCCTCCCTGTTTCCACAGACCAAATCCTCCTAGCTCAGGAGCTAGGCCTAAGCAGTTATGTCTTTCAAGTGTTTTTTTAGTTCTTAAATTTTATGCTTGTATTTGATTATAGATGTCAGTGACATTTCATAGTTTCAAAAGTCCTTGCTGCTCTGAGAAGTGTAGATTCTATTGAAAATTACGTAGTCATAAGAGAAATGTGTTTTTGTTTTTGTTTCCTTTTTTAAAGTTGTGGTATTATTGGTTCTATGCTCCCTGGAATATTACTGCTTTGTGAAAGTCCAGACTGAACGCAGCACCCTCCGTGTACCTAGTACATTTATAAACCTGGGTCTCTCACTACTTGATATTTTTGCATTAGTTAAGACAGAAATTTGATAGTTCATTTCGAGGGGAGGGCAAGTTTGCTGCTAGAAATGTCTGAACTAAGTGCCATACTCGTCTGGGTAAGATTTGGGAAACATAACCTCTGTACATAAAAAAAAAAAAATCAGTTAAACATCACATAGTAGACAGCCATTAAATTATAAAAAAATTAATTTATGAAGAAAGACCTTTTGTACAGATTGAAAAAAGATTTTCATAGAGATATCTATATGATCAAGAGAGTTAATTTTTTATTTTGTTTTACTAGTGCCACAAACTTGCCAGTGGTAACTTATTTGTCCGGTTCAAGATAACTCTGTAGTTTTCTTTCCTAGGACTTGTTGACTCGTTGTTAAAACGCCAAAAGACATTTTTGAACTGTACATTTGATCAGATTGTTAGCTTTTTCTGTTTTATTTCTTTTGAGACCTTTGAATAAAAAACATCTGAAATTTTATTTTTTGTCAGTTTTTTTTCCAGAGATTAAACTTGTGTCAGGATCTTATCTGACCTTCTTGAGCTCAGTAGATTAGTTTGAAAGTGAGTCAAAAATTATTTTCAATTCAGTAGGTACTTGAAGTACATTTTCTTCAAAAGAATTGGAAAAATTTTTCCATGCCCTCTGTTTGGTTATTTCAATGCATCCAGGGACCACAGACATCAGCCATTAAGCTCACCACATTTCACCTCAGCCAGAGTGCACCTTTGGTCTGTTCTTAAAGAGCCCCCTTCTACCCTGTGGCTGTGGCACTGTTTGTCATTGCCCAGCAAAGAGGACAGAATAACCATCAGGCAAGCACACAGGTAAGAATTTCCAGATGATCTCAAGATGATCTTCTCCACACCTTGATGACCGTGGGCCTCCTTGGTGACTGCACTTGGCTGTTCCCAGTAGGACACTGTGGTGCAGCATTCAGGGGCGAGAGAGAACTTCTCTTTCCCATATTAAGTGTTTTATGGAGGCTCTTAGTACAGGAAATGGACTCCTTTTACCCACGGCAGATTAAATGTTCTAGTGCAGCTATACAGTATTCTTTCTCTGCTGCCCAAGGGGTCTGTCATGGTGGTGAAAGAGGTGGACAAGAAAAATACCCATCCCCTCCATTTCTGTGTGCCTTGCCTGCAACATGAATGATGTGGACTGAACAAGGAATGTAGGGTATAGAGCACTGCACTCGTGAGAGCCAAGAAAGCCTGGCACTAAATAGCTCACTCAGAGAAGGACTGAATGGTCCTCTAATAGTCAGTGCTTCAGTGGGAAAGATGTCAGAGCAGTAGGGAACTGCGGCCACATTTGCTGTCCCAGCCTCGCTGTCCCAGTGCTCCTGCATATGACTCAACAACCAGAGCACCTCCAGTCTTGTTTACCTGATTTTTGCTCTCATATTTTGTAAGGTCCATCAAGGAACATGTATGAAGGACACATGGACAAAGCCAAAGGGGGTAGGTTTGAGAGTGGGAGGCTGTGGTGGGGTGAAAATGGAAACAACTGTACTTGAACAACAATAAAATACTGAAAAGGCTTTCTGTTACTGGAGTCAGGACATAGTGGCTTCCTTTACATAGAAACTGATACACACTTTTTCAAGATCACCTTCGTGTAAAAGAGATGAGCACATCAAAGTGACGATGGTTCAGAAAGCTATTGCTTGTAGCAGAGGAACTGTGGTGCCTTTGGGGATAAACACCTTGCAGAAGGCCATGGCTACTCGGGTCATTGGCAGGACCCAGGGTTTCTTTCCCCTTTGTCAGAGATGGGCTGGGACCAGCATCCAAGGTGGGATTGGTTCAGAAGGGAGGGAAGAAGGTCTGACAGTTGCTCCCTGGCATTCACATTCCCTCTCTACATGGACAAGGATGAGTTAGAGCAGTGGGTGAATGGGGGAGCCTGTTTTCTCCTCCACCATCCATGCCCTCTATGGGCATTGGCACCAGGTAAATCCGCTGGAGCCTGGATTCTACTTCTTGAATTTCACAAATGCCGGTTAAAGGTCCACTAGAGGAGAGGTGGTGCCTCCCAGGCTGAGAGGCTGAAAAAATATACTTCTGATTGAGGGTGTTCTCATTGCACCAGAATAGCCAAAAAGGAAGAGGTCCATGGTAAGGCCATGGCCCTGTCACTGGCAGCACTCCCCTACCCACCAAAAAGCTTCAGAAGATGAAGAAGGTGAGGAGGGAGGAAAACTCAGAGCTCAGGGTTTAAGAAAAGCTGGGCAGTTTCTGCCCCTCAAATAGCAATGTGATGACTAACCACCCCTTGGTCATCAGGGAGCACACTGGCACCCCCACCGGTGGTCCAGGCCAGGTGGCAGCGGGAGTGGGGGCTGGGAGGTGAGCACACAGGACTCCAGCCAGGAGTTCCTGGCACAGCTGAGAGGCAGTGCTGTGTGCCTGTTCTTCCCCATAGGATAAACTCTGCCAGGCAGTGGAATTTCAACCCTGTGAAATGGCTCCAAAGTGTCCCCTGGGTCTTTGTAGAGCCAGAGAGTGTTTTAGCTTGAGCCACTAGAGGGAGAATTTTGTTTCCTTCACCTTCAGCTGTGAGCTCTAAAGGCAGGAGTCGGGGCAGTCGTGCATTATGGCCTTGGAGGCGGGGGGGCGGGGGGCGTGCTGGTAGATATGCAATCTCCAAGCACATATTCCACTGGGGATTACAGAGGTCTTGAGTTGGGTGCTAATTTTAAGAACAGATGCAAGATAATCACCACTGCCCGGTGCGGGCAGCTCTCTCACCATGAGCATTGTTGCTCATGCTGGAGAGTAACTTAAAAGTGATTTTTAAGGTCCAAGGAGGCCAAAAAGCCTCACCAGACCTTGTGTCTCAAAAGCACAGGAGAGCTCTGGCAGGTCTCTCAGTTGCTCAGAATTGAAAACAGGTGGCTTTGCACTAAACAAACTTGGATGCTGCTATTCTTTTTTTTTAATTTGACTTCGAGAGACTGAGATTTGATCTAGTTACTCCATTGTTCATTTACACAAGATGCATGTCATAAACTGTACTCTGCAGGTATCTCCTACCCTCCAGT